TGTTATTCCATGGGCCCCGTCGTGGTCCACCCCCTGGCGCCTCCATCGTGGTCAACTCGGTCCTCGTACCGGTTCGGGCCCAGATGAAATATCTGGGCCTGATCCTCGACGGGAGGTGGCTCTTCGACGAGCACTTCCGACAGCTGCAGCTGCTCCAAAGCTGGTCGGCGCTGCGTCTGCCCTAGGGCGACTCTTGCCCAATATGGGTGGACCCAGCGTCGCGACAAGACGGCTGTACACGGGGGTTGTCCGGTCAATGGCGCTGTACGGTGCACCGGTGTGGGCGGCGGCTCTGACCGCCCAGAATAGGGTACGCCTCTGGCGCCCTCAGAGGGTAATGGCGGTCAGAGCCATACGCGGTTACCGCACCGTTTCGACGGAGGTGGCATGCGCATTGGCCGGAACTCCCCCGTGGGATTTGGAGGCGGAAGTGCTCGCCGAAGTTTATCGGCGAGTGGCTGACTTCCGGGCGGAGACCGGATTTCGCCCTCCGCCCGAGGATGTGCGCGAGTGGCGCGAAGCCGCTCGCCGAGCCACGATGGCTCGTTGGTCGTTCCGGCTGGAGACTCCACGCGCTGGCTTCGCCGCCGTGGAGGCTCTCCAGCCGGTCATCGCCGAGTGGGCAGGGCGGCAGCACGGGACCCTTTCCTTCCGACTGACGCAGGTGCTTTCCGGGCACGGTTGCTTCGGAAAGTACCTGCACACGGTCGCTAGGAGTGAACTGAGTCCCGCCTGCCACCACTGCGACTGCAGTGAGGACTCGGCCCAGCACACGCTGGCGGTCTGCCCCGCATGGGCGGCGCAGCGCCGGGCCCTCACTGCAGTCATCGGAGTGGATCTCTCGCTACCGGCCGTAGTACGCTCCATGGCCGGTAGCGACAGTTGTTTTACCGCGGTCGCAACCTTCTGCGAGGTAGTAATCTCGCGGAAGGAGGCGGCGGAGAGGGCCCGGGAGGACGACCTCCACTCGGACCCGATCCGCCGCCGGCGAACCGGGCGGCGGAGGCCCGCCTACCACAGCCTCATGCCGCCCTGAGTGTGGCCGCGGGTGGACGGGGTGGGTTTCCCCTCCACCCGCATTAGTTGGCCAGCCGCGAGGGGGGCGGCGTCCGCGTGTGCCGGACGTCGCCTAAAGAGAGGAACATCTACAATGAGACGGAGCCCGCACCAGGAGCGGGCTGGCGCTAGGAGGGGTCCGGATGTCTTAACAACAGCTGTTCCCGGATCCCTCCTGTTACAGGCGCAGAGTGGCACACCGTGTGGTTTTAGTCGGTCCGAGTCCGACACACCACCCCGCCGCAAACCCCGGAGGGGTGACGGTCCGAGGGGATTTCCACACGTTAAAAAAAAAAAAAAAAAGGGTTTGTGTCAAGTTTTTCTTTTCTTTTTGCAGTGCTGTTGTCCTGCGTAGTTAACTCCCTTAGTCGGCTCTTACGACACCCACGGGATGAATTGAGGTAGTGACATTCCGTATTCTTAATCCGTCACTACTTGGTTTTATAAATAAAATCATACAAATCCTTTGTTCTAATATGATATGATTATTATCGCTATTCGTGGCTAATTTGATCAGTAAATGGCTTCAACGTGCACTGTTTCACAGGTGTTGTGTTTTTATTTGCTTTGTTTTCTAACATCGATACGAAAGGTAATTTGTTTCCATATTAAACGGGTGTGAATCCAAGTATATTGGTTTTAACACTTACTATACTTGTGATATATTAAAATTAAATTTACTCAACCCCGACCGTGTTGCCTACTGAGGTCAAGGACTTTAGGGCATATAAAAGTTGTTTGTGTATGACCTCCAATTACCATTTGTGCAGTATACATCTACAATGTTAAGTACATCTGTATTATCATACCAAAAATATTGATATACTGCAGAAATTGTTAACTGTAACTGTGTGTGTGATGTGGTAACCAGACTGCTGATAGACTCTTCCTAGTTTGGGATTAGACTGCCGTGTATGAGATGTATAAAGTTTTTATTATTGATCATAATTTTTTTTTTTTTGACACAAGTGACTTTGATAATTTTTTGACATATTTCTGCGATTCTGTTGATTCTGGCGTATATGTGGCAAAATTCAAATTAGGATTGCAGACACCTTGAATGAATTAATTTCAAAAAGACATTGCAAAGTCAAATATAATTAACTGTTGTCACGGATTTTAAACACTGATGTTGTTTTTTAAATTGTTTTGGTTTAATTTTCATAAATCTTTATGTATATTCTTTCAGATAGTATAAATAAGCAAAAGAAATGAAATAAATTTTAAATTACATTTTAACATTAATAAAATGACTTAATATGTACATTTCTGACAACAGGTATAAATGTCCCAACCATTCTTTTCAGGGTTATATTTTCGGGTTCAGTGTATATAAATATTACATCACATCATCATCAACAGGCTATACTAGTCCACTGCTGGACATAGGCCTCTCCTTAGAAAGGAGGTTTTGGCCTACTATACCACGCTGGCCAGACGGGTTGGTATAGGGTTTGTTTCAAATTTTCCTTCTTTTTCTAGTGCTGTTGTCCTGCTTAGTTTGCTCCCTTAGTCGGCTCTTACGACACCCACGGGTTGAATTGGGGTAGTGACAATTTGTATTCTTAATCCGTCACCACACACACCACACTTGTAAATATTACAAGACTCATTTTCAATATTTGTTTTCAAATCTATTTTAAGCTAAGTGAAAATTTTATGTGCAAATAAATATCGTGTTGTAGTAATAAGACTAATACCCAAGAACGATCAAAATAAAAACGTGTATTAAATCGACGTTTTTATGCCCGTGATTCAATTATTACCGCTACCACATTACACAAACCGCTAAGCTTTGTAGCCATCAAAATGGTTTTTCTTCATCTTAAGTTATATGTATTATTATTTTAAATTATACAATTCCCACACTAGGATACATATCCGGTGTCGCGCGGGCCTTTACAAACATTCATGAAGCGGACACAAAGAACACCCACACTCAGAACAACAATTTTTGAATTACACAAAGTGTTGTTCCATCTGGGGTTCGAACCCACAAAACTAAGCGTAGTGGGGAGGCGACCACTTAAACCACTACGCCATCCGTGCAGTCCCCTTTATATCCCTTTGTTTTACTGTGATGTTAATTCATCTTCTATACCACTATATTCATACACTGGGTGATCAGTCGGATCCGGAGGCAGATCTTTTATGTTTTTAATTCAAACTATCGATGATACCGGCTAGTTTTTGCGACACAATTGTTAAAAGAATTTTCTTATGTAGATTAACTATTTATATACAAAATTATGTTTAGTTCCGCTATATTAACCGCTAGCTTTTACAAGCGGCTCCGTCGTATTTCGGTTTTCGCGGTAAAAAGTATACCAAACCGGTATAACAAACGAAAACAAAACAAACAAACTCACTTCACGTTTATACTTAGCTAGCTGAACCTGCAAACGTTGTTATGCTATTTACAATTATTATTTTTTTGAATTTCTTAAAATCCGTTCTTAGCTGACCTCTACTCGGTGAAAAGAATATTCCTACCAAATTTCAAGTCTTTAGCTCTAATGGTTCCAGAGATATCGTGATGAGTGACTATATACGTGGAAATCTCTAATATATATATATATATATAAATATAGATTAAGAGTTTTTGTAATATGTAAAAGCTATGTATCACAAAATTTAATACCACGTCTGGATTTTTGTAATTATTTCCCTTTTCTACAGTACTAACTACAATTTTTATACTGTGTTCATGTTCACAGTGGCTCGGTTTAAAAATTTCTTGATTCTTCATCATCATCATCAACAGCCTTTTACAGTCCACTGCTGGACTCTCCTTAGAAAGGCTAAAAAAGGTAAGGTTTTATTTCTTGATTGTTAATTGCTATTGTATCACCATGAATTGCTGTTCCATTAAAACTGCAGAACACATGCGAAATGGAAGTTCACTTTTTATAATTCTCGTTGTAAGACAGAAAAGAAGTATTTTGATAATAATAATAACCAAATCACACATCTCACACACGGCCATCTGATCCCAAACTAGGCAGAACCTGTATATAACCAGACTACTAATAAACATACTTATATATTTCTAAATACATGCATACTACAGATAAATTACACACAGACAGAACAAATGACCATGCTCATCACACAATTATTTTTTCTGGGTGGGAATCGAACCCCCAACCTCTGGCTTATCAGTCAGGGTTACTCACTACTGGACTAACAGACCAGTCAGTATATACTTATATGTATAATAATACCTATTTTTAATGAACTTAATCCGTGTGGTGACGGATTATGAATATGGAGTGTCACCACCGCTGGTCATCCCGTAGGTGTCGTAAGAGTCGATTAAGGGAGCAAACTACGCAGGACAACAGCACTACAAAGAGAAGGCAAACTTGAAAGAAACCCTATACCAATCCGTCTGGTATAGTAGGCTAAAACTGCCTTTCTGAGGAGAGGCCTATGTCCAACAGTGGCCTATTAAAGGCTGTTATGATTTTTGATGAGCTCTAGTTTATATTCTTTGTGGATTTCATTCGTTTTCTACAAGAGAATAACCAATAATTTGTCTACAAGTGCAGTGTTTAAGGAATAAGGTTCTTAGGTATAATATAATAAAAAGAAAATGCTTATTACAGTACGTAATATTATAAAATATTTATTAAACGTTTAAATATAATCTTTCTAAGTAACAACACGCTTACGCACAGCTAATACTAAAAGGCCACTATCGACAGCGTCACAACTTCAACATGAAATCACCAAGACCTTCACAATGTCGGTGTTCAATATCAATTAGCAAGGAAAGAAAATTTTCTTAAATTCCTTGTAAAACCAAGGAATAACAATACTATTTACAGCGTTCCGAAATTCTGCCCAGCAGTTCCGAAATATCAGTCGAGTAACACAACTGTCACAATACAATAATTTAAAAAAATACTGCTATATGACGGTAGTTTAAAAAAAAACACGTCTTATACATATACTGTGCCGAATCTAACTTGTGGTTTCTTGAAAAGGTTAGAGGCAGTCTTGAAAATACTGATGATGGGCCTAAAGGTGGACTTCTCTGTCTGGTAGAATGTTTTAGGCTGTTGATACTGATATTGGTATTGGTTGTTAAACTGGTTGTAAAACTGGTTGCTGTATTGATAGTTAAAGCCGTGGGTTTCGCCGGTGCTGTCGGGGATAGCATTAGAGATGTAGCTGTTGCTGTTATCAACCGATGTCTGGTATGATGATGAAGAGGTGTAACTAGCAGCTGTAAAAAAGAAATTACATTTAAAATTTGAACCACAATCAATAATTTTCGAAATTCGAATACGTAATTTGATCCAATAGCTATACAGAAAATAGTAAGATATATTTACCGCAGAGGCCGGAATATTTTCTTGAATCAGTGAGGCCGTAGTTGGTGCAGGATGGGGACCCCTTTTCATAGGGTTTGGATCCAATGACATTGCCCCCGGGACCATAGTTGCAGACGTACAGTTTAGTGTAGCCTCGTGTGGGGTCATAGTAGAACGTGAAACCGCAGCCTACATGAGATGTCTCGCCCCAAACCAACTAAAATGAAAAGTATAATATTTAAAATTCGTCATTTAATTAAATATAAATTTCAATAGAATTCTCTTTAAATCACCAATTTATTTACCTATGATATTAAATTAGCACTGATTTAAATTTTAAATTACCTGTGAGTAATGTCCTGTTCCATGTCCTCCAGTGATAGGTTTGAAGCCATAAATGTGGACTTCATTGAACCATGCGTTGATCTGTTTATTGAAATCCGGTTCAGAGTCAGATCGGTCGCTTGGCGGGCGAGTTGTCCAGGTGGCCGCGAGATTCTGACCCACGGGGAAACGACCGTCGTAGCGCTGTGCAGCGCGGTCATGAGCAGTGATACATTGATCAGACCAATGCTGAGCTCCAGCGGCTAGTTCGTCATCCCATACCTTATGACAAAGTAAACCTTTGTTAGTTTTGATATATCTTGTTTCTAAGTTTAGATTTAATACGGGCGATGAACTTTAAATTAATAATTTTATGTTAATTAGACTATGTTAATTTAGATCCTTATTAGGTATAATTTTTTATATAGTAACAGAAAATATTATATAAATATGTATTATGTAATCAATACGTCTAAATATCCTTATAATACGAATAAAATTAATAATAGAAAATGAACTGCTTTGAAATTAATAATGTGTTACTAGATCACTATTCCATCAAGTTTTAGAATAGCGTCAACTTAGTATAATATATCTAATTTAATATTTTCTATTTCAATCTTGAATACATAAGTCTAATTTAGATTTGAAGTCTCTTATTTCGTGTTTGAAAATTCCAATCTTAATAATACAAAGCTATTGTTGGATTTGCACATTTTGGAATTTAAATCTCAATATTAAATAACGAATATCGCTGATGTCATCTTAGCGTTCGATTATTTTATTACTGCACGACACTTTGATATTATATAAGAAATGTAAATCAATAATCGTCAAGATCAAGTTCTAATGAAATATTCATAAGGTCGGTTACATTTAGCTGAGATAACATACCATTTCCATCATGTTAGCTGCTGGTGGTTGACTGGAGATCTGCCCAAGTGCAACAGATTGCCTGAAGCGATTGTGCGCGTCCACAATCGCCTGTTTTTCGAACGCCGTCAATCCTCCAGATCCTTTAAGAAAAAATACAATTATAAGCTTAAACATTCGAAACCCATTACAGCCTATTCTTTGGAAAATTATGTGGCTGTAATCTAAATCTGATTTTCAAGGTAACATTACTATTGTGATTTCGTAATCCATTGAGTTATCTGATTTATGAGACCATCATGTGTTAATACAGGTGTATGTCAATAAAATTTTACGACCTTAACTTAAACCAGTATGTAAAACAGGAGAACATCTTTTTTGGGTAAAAACTCGTTTGCAAAATCTAGACTGGGTGGCGGCAATTGAATTTATTGATTCTTGTCATCATTACGAACATTTTATAAATTTTTGGTGTTTTATGGAACGAAACGTGTTGAGAGAAGACATTTGAATATTTTTTTCACTTTTTATTGAAAATCTTATGAAAATAATTGTAGCTACGACTTTAAATATTTAAAATAATTTACCATGGGATTTTTTGAAGTAATCACAAACTATTTGGAATAATGTTGTATGTTTTAATTTATTAATGAGTGAAAGAACTTACTTAGCAATTGTTTTCCAGCACCACAGCCTTCTGTTGTAGCGAGGAGACCTCCCAAAACAAACAACACTAAGGGCATCATGTTGATTTCTTAAAAGTTAATTCACAACACTATAAAACTGAAAAATTACACGCGAATATTTGAGATTCGTAACTAAAGATGCTGTCACTTATATTTACGAAACTTCAAAATTAGTTATATCTGCCGGTGATCCGCTGCACTATGTGCTGCGCGCTCAACAGGCTTTAGCGATCTGTGCGGCTGCCGTGCACGCGCGCCCTTAAGTACCCAATGCCGCGTTACCATGGAGACGGAGCGACGCCGGGCGTCCGCTGCGTCTGCGCACAGAAGTCCGCACCACTGCCGCATTATCTGACTCGTTCTCTAAACCGTACGCTCTTAGTTTCCACAACTAAAACTAAATTTTTAAATAAAAAAAGTATTGTCATAAAATTTAAACTTAATTTAAATACAATGAGAATTGTATTGGTGTGTCGTCGCGTACCGTCTTCAGTGAAGATAAAATGAAAGGTTATGCGCACATCGGCCGGCCACTTTTTATCTGCAGTAATAATTTAAAACTCATTATACTGTACACGGTGGTTGTCAATGAAATCGAGTTCTTGTGATGTGTCGAAGCCGAACGTGGAAATATGTTGACAGATATTGGTCGGAACGGAAGTGGTCTTTAAGCGAAATTACATATATGCAGCTAAAAAATAAGGAAAGAATAATGTGTAATCAACTTTTTTTATGTCAAAGGATATTTAAACTTTAAATTTTGGGTAGGGATTGAAAAGGCTTTTTTTTAAGGTATCATAATGTATAAAGACATGTTTAGTCAATGAATAGAATGCCAAAATTATACAATATAGGTTAAGTTAAGTTCTGCGAAAAAAAAATAGAATAGGTTTTTTCCTTCACTTGAGCAATACTACCAAACCGTATTTAGTATGTTAAAATTTACAGTACAACGAAGCTAAACACGCTGTTTATTTAATTTGTAGATTATTTATTATCTAAATTATTAAAAATTTAAATTATAATTTTTGTGTAATTTTTTTACTGTTACTGTAACTGCTAAATTTTAGATATATCATCATTGTCATCATCATCATCAGCCTATCGCAGTCCACTGCTGGACATAGGCCTCTTCAATTTTTTTTTTATTATTTTTTATCATCAATAGCCAGTAATAGTCTCCTTTGAACGGAGGTTGTGGCCCACTATACCATTCTGGCTAGACGGTTTGGTATATGGTTTGTTTCAAGTTTTCATTCTCTTTGTCGTGCTGTTATCCTGCAGAGTTTACTCCCTTAGTCAGCTCTTACGACACCCAAAGGATGAATAGGGGTGGTGACACTCAGTTTTCTGAATCCATCACCATTTATTTTTAGTTATAAAATTACAACTCCCGCATTAGGAATATATCCTGTGTCGCGGGAGACTTTACAAACATACATGAAACGGACACAAAGTACACGCAGACTTAGATCAACAATTTGTGGATCACACAAAGTGTCGTCCCATGTGGGTATCGAACCCACAACACTCAGCGTGGTAGTAAGCGGCGAAGTGACCTTTTAAACCGCTACGCCATCAATGCGGTCAAATTCAAAGTCATATTATGTTGTTACTCAATCAAGCTGGATTGGCTTAACAGATATGAATTAAAATTTGGCGTAGAGATAGTCTAAAAGCAGCAGCTGAGCAGTTTACAAAATTTAAATAAAGAATACATAATAGAGATATTGGTAGTTTTTTATCATATTCGTATAAAATATTATCATGCAAAGGAATCACAAATAAGTTGATCCTATCAACTAAAATAACCAAGGATCGATATAAGGCCGGCAACGCGTTTGTGACTCCTGAGTTGCAGACGTTCATAGGCGTCTCACATCTCCGGATCTCGCCATCATGATGGTCACTTTCCATCAGGTGACCCGTCTGCTCGTCTGCCCCCCCTATAACATAAAAAAAAAAAAAAAATTTCTTCTGTGAAAATTTAGTGAAAATAAATAAATATATATTTAAGACATCTAATAAACAACGCCATCTAGTTTCCAAACTAAGCAGAGCTTTTACTATGGAAGCTAGATTGACTGATAGAATACTTGTATACATTTTTTTTTGTAAATACGTACATATTATACATAGAAAACACCCAAACTCCGAAACAAATATTTGCAGATCATACAAACAATATTTGGTCTGACCCAGGAATCGAACCCGAGACCTCAGCACAGCAGTCGCTATCTACTGCTATATGACGGTAGTAGCACCGAGACACTCAGTCATCGATATGAGACTTTATAAATTACTTTTACGCGATAGGCAACTTTTTACCTCTTAAAAATAGACTATCAGAATCGACATTAACGCCAACGAATTCGCAGAAAACAAATTTTTAATACAAACAATAATAGTAGCGTAGTTCATATACTATTGGTATTCTTTATAACCCCACCAGCTAAGAAACATTCTTATGTTAGGACACTTCCTAACAGAAGTTGGAAGACCCATATTCACTGAATGGGATTCGAATCAACCTCTGTTTAAAATTATGTATTTCATGAATATTTTTTTGGAAAAAAAAGCGGGTACATTATGGTTTTAGTTTGTCTTTTTTTTGGTTTAGATACCGTTAATTAGAGTGATTATTAAAAGAAGTTGTGTGGTGACAAGTTGTCTGTTAGCAACAAATCCGGTTTACCACCTGAGGAGTAGATTGGTTTTATGCTCCGATATTTGCATATTAATGACACTGTTTTATAGACTTTTTATTTTATGAGGATTTATCAGAACTCGGGATTATTATCTTTTTAATTAAAACATAAATGTTAAAGGTACATTACCTTTTGATAATTATTACCTAATTTTACAAAAGTTTCGTTTCTATTTACTCTAATTTTACCTTTTATTTGAAAAAAAAAACATAAAATTTTATTACCAAACATTTTATTTTATTTTTTTACTTATTTTTTAATTAACTAATTAATTCAAGTTGATATATATTTATTGTTTATATTTGTTAGAACATTAAAATTAGCATAACATAGCAACAGACCCGTGTTAACGTGGTGCGGTGTGATATTTTAGGTATAAAATGTTCCTTAAGATATAAATCTATACAAATAAATAAAATTAAAGTGTCTGTTTGTAATGTAAAAATAATAGGTTTTTTTTCATTCACACGGTTATTTGCACGATACCTATGCCTAAAAACCAGTTTTTTTTGTCTGTCTGTTCCGGTTAATCTTCTAAAACGGCTGGAATGATTTTGATAATATCTCATTACGAGGTAGCTGTCTATATAAGGAGTAACTAAGACGATTTTCCTCTCAGAAAACCCCTTTTAAATTTTGCCCGCTCCGAGAGTCGAACCCTTAGTTGGTTCCGGGCATCGCTTTACAAGTTCCACGAGAACGAAGTCGCGGATAATAGCTATTGTAAAATAAAAATCGTTTGAAAAAGTCAAAGCAATTAAAATAAATTCCATATTTAAATAGAATAAAAGTAAAATTTATGGTATTACCTTTTTTTGTAAAGCGTTGGTAACTAATTTGAGTTCGATTTTGGTGAATGAGAATTTATGCTATTAATAGATAAATTAAAATATTTAATCTTTTTAAAAAATAAGTTTAGGTAAAATTCAAGAACATTTTGCTGGTGAATGTAGTTAAAACATTTACATAACATAAACTATTACACGTTAAAACTTTACTTAGCGTTTTTTTTTTTGTTGATTCTTTTTTTATCTTTTACCTAAATCTTTGATCTTTTGTATGTTTATCTGTTTAATATCAGACGACATAAGTATGACAGCCATGCTTTATGATATGCGGGTTAAGTGCTTGCAGACGAAATGGATCCTCCAGTATTAGGAGTGGACTCTCTTTTAGGATAATTTTATTAGATTTATAGTACCTACCTAATGTTGTGTGTCCAACGTTACTAGAAAAAAGTATAAATCATCACATCATCATCATCATCATCAACAGCCTTTAATAGTCCACTGCTGGACTACTACTATACCCCGCTGGCCAGACGGGTTGGTAGGTTTGTTACAAGTTTTCCTTCTCTTTGCAGTACCGTTGTCCTGCGTAGTTACGACACCTAGGGATGAATAGGGGTAGTGACATTCCGTATTCTTAATCCGTCACCACACGGAAATAGTGAAAATATTTTTATAACATCTAACCATTGAATACTCCCAAATTCAAACTCAATATTTATGTTAAATAGATCAAAGAATTTAATTTTAAGCGCTTTCAAATACCGGGGCCTTGGCAGTGAACTTATTGACCTCCTGCAATGATAATGCTTTATGCTAAATCTACAAAGAGATTATTATAATAATCGATACACGATTTTGTGATATGTGTGTGTGTGTGTGTGTGTGTTAAGCGATATTTAATAAACCTATGTGGTTTCTCCAGAAGCTGTCGTTTTGTACATTTTCTCTGTCAAGTTGTTTTATGTGATAAATAAATAATAAAAATAATAATAATATTACGATAGTAATATATGAGTACAGATTATCACACAGAGTATTACACGTCAGATAGGGCCTAGTTAGGTGCGGCGTCGATCTTTGGGGGACCTGAAATCACATGGCCCGGGTTCTGCCTAGAGTATGGCGCCTAAGGCGTCGGTATGGTTTTTAGTGGTAACACCACATATATATATCCTGAAAGAGCCGTAGATCCAAGGAATTTTCTACCTAGGTTCACCTAAGAAGATCTAGTAGATACTACGATTATTTAAAATAAATTGTGATTTGACAAGGACCTATTTCAAGGCTGGTTCTAGAACACTGATAAACATACATAGATACAATTTGTTTCGTAAATACATAAATATTAAACATTGAAACATCCAGAAAAATGCAAAAAGCAATCCATGCAAACAAATATTTATACTGAACAGGAATCGAACCCGCGGCCCTAAGATGGCAACCGAATATAAAACCACTGTATCACAAAGAGTATTTATAAGTGTACACAAAGTATTTCTAAGTTCACACGTCATCACGTTTATTTTTATTGTTTCTTGAATAGATGACGGTTACACGATTA